GTCTCTTCCCAGAGTTTCCGTTATCACAAGAATGCTGAGTCAAGGGCAAAGTCTTGACCCCTGGCGAGACACCAACCATTTTCTCACGCTTTTCAGGTGAGTGTCAACGGGGCGTCTTTAACCCTCAAGACTTTTTTGTCATCATGTCTTCGAGAGGCATATTAATACCGCGCTGTAGGAAACTCTTAATGATGGAATACCATTTCGTGTACCATTTTTCCGTTGTCAGGGTAGAGATTCTCACGCTAAAGGACTTATGCCAGATCAGTCAGAATGAGCAGAGACAAGGGACTCTATTTTATGTCAACTTCATAGATCGTCCCAGCTCGTTCCCCTATCAGTCATGTCTTAATTTTTATACCTTATCCTATTTATAAGGTATTCTTTCAAGAGGGAAGGCAATCTCCTCAACTCGCCTCATCACTTGCCCCCTTTTTGTGGATGTCTCTACAAATGCTCTCTCAGCATCCCTCTTTCAACAGTCAGTTTTTTTCGAAAGTTCCGGTTGCAGCCCCCGGTCCTTCCCTCCCCTCCTTCCCCCAGTGGTCAAAGAATAAAGAAAAATATAGGTCGAAGAAATCGCTTTGCTTTATAGGTGAAGCACTCCAAATCCCTCAATCGTTCAAATGAATCTGGCCCCACAATGCAATTCGCGAACAATGTGCATGCATAAGGAAACGGTACCTGAAGCTTGGCGATTAACGCCGTCGAAAATGGTAGTAGAAGTGGATTCCATAAAAGAGGAATTGGAGGAATACGACAAGCCCCTGATTCCATACTTATCTGAAATGCACAAGCCAATAAAACGTTCAGGATCAAAGGTGACAGATGATCGCAAGAGATCTACAGGAGTCATTATAATAATTATCTACACGAGTCATAATAATAAGTATTGAATATGAAAAAAAGCTCAAGAGGTAAAGTCAACCGCGTAAGCCGTTCGCCCCACATTCTCTTAAATCACTAGAACTTTCTTCAAAGCCTCTTTGCTCTGCAGAAAGATTTAGTGATGAGAAACACTGTGGGGCTCTGGCCGAGGAGGAGGAAAGAGGAAAGTGCTCCCAAAAATGGACGAAAACTCCGAAAAGAGCTCATTATTGTTGTACTATCAGTATAATAGTATTCAAAGTTTTTTTTAGAATTTGCTTCAGGATTAGATGTACAGTACATAAAAGCTTCTAAGAGAACACCATTACCGAGCCATGAGCAGGGATCCAAGGAGGATGCAACATGACAGAAGTTTGTGACCAAAATAGAAATCTAGTCATGGACAGTAATATATGACCCGGTCAGTCAACAAACAACTGCTGTCAAGCAGACATTGCCGGCGATACCGTAACTAGAAACAGGTTTGGAGCAACAATACCGTACCCGCAAACAGTCATGCGACATACCTACTAGACCCGTCAGTCACACGAACAGCGCCTGTGCACCAGTGACAAGTGCGACGGGACGAGATTTTACAACCCACCGCTACAGTAGTCGTCGCGTGGTGTCGTGACAGTGGGCGTGGCATAATAATGTCGTCGCCACATTAGCTGCAACATTTAGCACTAACGACACAATTGTGGCGACATCACATCTTCAGACACACATGTGCCGTCGTTAGCCGCCGCTCAAAACAAGTCGGGATCAGCGGTGTGTAATTGACAGATGTGCGATAAGGATACGGTAGCGACGAGATGAGCTGCCAGCTTTATCGCAGAAATCGCGAGACCAACTTTATGAATTGTTTCTTTTTACGGGGATTCACTAGAAAGCTAGTAGCGTAAAAGTAACTCTTGAACAAAGAGTCCAACGATGTCTCAAGAAAGGCCTGCTCTAATCACTTTCCTCGCTCCCTCCCTCAATAAGACACCCTAGAGACCAAGATAAGTCCAACCTACCAAACCAGTTCCAGCTTGCCGGCAACAAATCGTCGAGCGTGATATCAAAGTTAGGACCTCTACTCTGGAACTTCCTCATCCCTTCGCATAACTCCAAACCCAACAGCTAATCAACCGAACGGCGACCCCTTCCGCAGTAACTCACGAAGGGGAGGTGGAGGAGGGATGTCTTTCAGGTAACAAAGCGCTCTTTCAAAACAGTTCAGAGCATGTTGCAGAGGCGCGAAGACGGACCATAAAAGGTAGGCTCTTCTTCCTGAAGGAGCGCCAGGTAGGCTCTTCTTCCTGAAGGAGCGCCACAAAAAAGTGAACAGTAGTCCAATGGATCGAATCCCCATGGTGATGCAAACTTGTAATTGCGGTTTTCTTGTGTTCAAATGTGTTTATCCCGTTGCCTGGTTGGAGTGCATCGAAAAACACCCAAATCTTTCGTTCGAAAAGCAAAAGCGCTTTCCTCCATCAAGTTCGCCAGAAACTCGCAGAACTTTTTCTCACCCTCTTCGTCTTGCAAGAACGCTCAGGAAAGCCAACAACACTTCCGAAGGACACGAGCAGGTACCTCTACAAAATGTAACGAACTCTCAAAAAAAACCCCATAACTTGAACCACCCTCCTTTTGAAATGCATCCTGCTCATTGAAGACCTCACAAGTAGCACCAGACTGGAAGCGGGAACTGACAAAGGGAACAGCTCCTGGAAGATAACAGAGAACTGACTGGTATTTCTAAAAAAGTAAAGCTTCTCAATAAACAGGAAACTTTGAGTCATTTGAAAGTTGAGTCACACCAGATTGGAACCTGCCAATGTGATGTACGTAACAAGCTGTGAACTGGTCTTTACATCATACCTCAGCATCCTGATTGAACCATGAGAGTAAATTTTCCTCACCTCAAGAAAAATCATTGACCGCCGATATTCTCAAAAAATGAAGCTGGACTTGCAGAGTTGCCAGCTCTATTGGTGAGTAAGGCGATGTCAGTAAAATCTACAAACATCAGAGGATTGTGCTGACTGATTGATGGGCCTTCGCCACTTTATGGGATCAGATGGGAGGTCGGAGCACGTGCGAGCTGAACTGAGTTTATAGCCGGAATTTGCTCGGAAATGGGGCGCCACTGTGGTGAAAAGAAGTGAAGCTACGCCGCACTGAAACAAGTGTTCTTGGTCAGAAGAAAATCACACCAGTTTTTAACTACAGCTGAGTTAACTAGCAAAACTCTATCACAGCCGTAACATTTTGCTAGGAAACACCTAGAGCCATGAAAGGGGCAGAGTATAACCGAAACTGCATAGAAGTAAAAATATTGCAGCGTCCTTGTGATAAAAAAATAATAGACAATTTCAGAAATAATCGCATAAAAAT